TTTTTTTTCCAGGAGTCTGATTTCTAGGGACGTTTCACCCTTTTTACGTCGTTACTCGTTACAAAGGTATGGTGCTGTGCTCTTACAGTACCCATGCAAATATTTTCTTTTTATAGTTAGCGGCTACCCCAAAAGATCAAAACCAACTATGTAATACAAGGAAAGCCAGCATGTTCCCATTCATCACGAGTGCGTCATTTTTCACTACACTTTCTATCTGCGCTTCAGCCAAGAATTAAAAAACAGAAACACAACTAATACATTCAAAAGTTACAAAACTACTCATCAAAAAATCTCTAGGTAGACTTGAATTGTCGGGCATACGAGATCACAACTACAAAGCATTCATACGCACACTGCACTGTTTCTCAGCAAAGAATTAAGTTACAGGCGAAGCACATAAAAACTGAAACACCCCTTAAAGCCAGATTCTTAGGAAGCGAAATGGAAGGAAAAAAAATACGCAGTTACTTAAATAACTGTTACAATAATCAAGAGCTCTCAAATAACCTACCTTCAAAACTGGTGGTAACATGCAGCTGAAAAATTATGTTTTCGGAAAATGGCTAAAATGCTTGCAACTCAGACAAACAGTTTAAGCAGATAAAAAAAAATAAATGCTTTTTTTTCTGTCAAAGGGAAAGCGTTCAACTGACGGAGCCAAAAACTGGTTTGCTAGAGTATCTTATAAGCAATTCAGTGGATAATTTCGATGCAATCGGACAGCAGCTGGAAACTGCAGCTTCGGAAACCTCCTTGAAAAATTCTAGTTTTAGAATCATTTGTATGCGAGAAATACCCCTATCTAATTTCGACATCATTGCCGGCGGTCTCCAGTATCTTTTCCAACAGATTTATCGACAAACACCACCCGGGACTGTGTTTAAAGAAGCGATATTTGTCATACTTAATTCTGAATCAAAAAATTTTAACAGTGCCAAGAAGCTGCCACCACTCTTTATTTGGAACGGCACAAAACTACGCCATTGATCTCTAATATTTCCATTTCCTATAACTGTTTCAAGCATCATTACAATAAGAAGCGCCTTCAACCTATAGATTTATTAGTTGCTTTCGGAATTATTTTGGATCTCGCCCGTATTTAGACAAAGCACTTCATGGAGCTTATCCAAATCGTACCTATAGATAAGTAACAGCAAAAGGTTACCTCCCCTAATCCGCTGTAAAAAATGTAGTTATAAGCAAGATAGACGGGAAAACCATAACAGCAGCGTTGGAGGACGACGAAAACAAAAATCCCTTCGCGAATGTGACGCGGAGACAGTTGCGATTTGC